ACTTCCATGGAAGTGCGTGAAAACATAGTTTGCTTATCATCGATCAGTTTCACCTGAGTGTGCGCCGTACATTATACTCCCACTTAGAAGTACTGGAAACTCCAACGGTAACTTCCAGTAGTTGGTGGTTTTGTCTGTGCGAGCAGAGGCACCATATTATTTTTCCGAAAAGCTTCTGACTGGGAAAGATTGATGCGCCAACAAACCTGTTTGTATTGTAATGTTAAGTTGTCTATCCAATTACGAATTTATGCTAAGTTTATTATTGTTAGTTGATTATTTTGATATTGTAGTGCTCCCCACATCCATGTACTCTTGTTTACGACCCCTGCCTCCCCCTTCTTAGCTGTCAGATCCCCCTCGATGGGTTTCGCACAACGATCTGTACCCTGTTACAGAAGTGATTCGGGTCAGGACAATACTTAAAATAGCGGTTCAGATTTCGTTAAAACACAGTACGCTGCCACAAACCCAGAAGAAATCGGCAGTAAGGGTACGAACACTCCGGGGTTCCCTAGTCCCTTAGTACACTTGTAGCCATCCATGGGGTAGCCTCGTCTCATCTAGGGGTAAGCATAAGCAGAGGGAATATAGAAAAATCATATTTCGAAGCGTTGCTGTATGTTCATTAAACAGCTTTGTGTGCATCATTTCAGCGGAATGGCTGCAGTTTGAAGCAGGAGAACTGACAGAGGACGAAAATGTGACTGATATCGACGAATTCGGAGGCAGGACCCTTGAAGAGAAACTAGAAGCCCTTCGTGGTGTCCTTTGCGATCTGGAAAACAATGTGAACGAGAACTACGAAAAATTCAAGGTATTTACTTTTTTTTCGGGAGAGGGGCGTCCTTGTAGGCGTCTACCGCGGAATGAAGCGAATGATATGCTACCCGTTGAATGAGCACCGACTTCGTTTTACTTCCTGCATCACAAGGCACATTGTGTAACTTTACGGGCTGACACTTGTTTTGCCCCTTATCAGATTTTATCAGCCGCTGTCAGTCCACCAACCGATAACGTTATATATCTTACCTGGGGATCATCGTCTCACTGCTTTGCTAAGACTCACGCTTTGAAAATGACGACCGTACCTATCTAAGGCCGTTGTAACCTCCTCTCACCCTCTATTGAACGAAAAGCTCGCTATCGTTCGCCATTACATACATACAGTGAGTCAGATGGTTGCATATTGACGACAAGATTCTGAGTAACTCGGTAGTGAAGGAAAAACAGGAAAAAAAACATGCCAACTACCCTAGATACAACCCCATTTCGATCCCAGTTTGTACGTGCTCAGATAAGTCCACCTCCAACACTGTGCCCTAAACCGCACTGCTGATTCCCCGATAAGAATTCTACGACCGTACAAGTGACGATTTTCATGCTTTTTCGTCCTGCAGCTTCATTTTTTCCTGAAGAGCAAGCCTTGAAGGCGGAGTCTGGAGGCGCAGCCACTGGGAAAAAATAAGGCCTCATGATTTTATATTGTGCCATAGCGCCCCTCCCTTACAATTTCTTCACGCGAGACCTGTACAAGGTTGTTCGTCGCGACCACACTACACTTAAGACGCCGTATTTTAAATTTCTGTACCTGTTGGCGCCGTGCCTTTAATGTCCGCGTCACACCCTATTTCATATGTCGGAACCATCCCTGCTGATCCTGCGGGACGCCATAGTTTGAGTGACTCTCTCTTCTCAACGTCTTTTATCAAATTCCATCAGCTGCTATTAGTTCCTGCCACTCACCAATCAAAAGCATTTCCGTCGTGCCTCTACATCTTTCCTTGAATCCAGCCACATATTACATATAGTGAGCTTCCTTTCTCTTCACTGTGATGTAGGTGTTAGTTTAAAGAACTATGTACCAGTATCAATTTCTCTTCCTCTGGCTTGCAATGTGCCAAATTGTTCCTCAAATCTACTGCTTCACAAAATAAGTTTTAACTCTGAATAGCATTTGATTACTACCGTGCACCAGATTCGTATATCTGTGGAAACACTTCGTAAGAATAATCTT